TTTTTTTTTTTTTTTTCGCGTGATTAATCGAAGCTTACTCGGATCGGTGAGGGTAATGAGTCCAGAATCGGCGAAATCACAGTTGTGAGCGTTCCTTCCGTTTGCCTGATAATAAGAATTCATGAGCACGGAAGCAATGTTGATGTTTGTACTTGGTTTCGAGCACGGTTCGCTTAGTTTGATCCCCGAATTTTGCAAGAATGCAATATTGTTCTTCAGAGCTGTGTCGTCAGTCGAAGGCTTCGCCACACAAAATGTCTGCAGCGGTTTTTTTGGGTAACCAAATTACGAAAAATTATGGTCTTATATAACGGTTGAGTTAAGAATCGGCCGAAAAAGTTTGCAAATCACGTACAAAATTTCCATTAAAAAAAAAAACAAGAGCCATAATGCAGAAATGAACCGAATCATAGAACCAAGAATCATAATACAATATATATTATGCAAAAACTTACTTTTGTTGTGTCGTCTGCCAAAACGAGGTTACAACCGAGAGTACAAACTGCACATATTGAAGTTCTAGAGTTAAATTTTTTTATATATGGGGTATAATTGCATAAAATGCTCATTAAATGATAAAACTCTAGCATGCTATAAAAAAAAAAATGCAAAAACTACTCAATATGAACTCAGTGATTAATCTATATATATATATATAATTACTAGCTAATAGCATTTAATAAAACCTATTTAATTTTAATTATGTAGCAATTTAACCCTTTTCTTTCCAAAAACCGTTACTTTTGATGTATTTAATCTTTCATTTAATTATTAAATAATCAACACTAATCACTTCAAAATTACAAAAATCATTTTAAACATTTGATATTACTGATAGTTGACCGTATAATGTGATTAAATGTTTTTATTGTGGTTACATTTAATATTTTTTTTAAGTAAAAAACGTATTTGAAATTTCTAAATAAATAATAAATAATTCAAAAAAAAAAACGTACCAAAATATACATTACAAAAAATAATTACTAATTTACCTGAGAGGAGGACGAGGAAAGAAGCAAAAAGCTTGGCCATTTGTGGTAATAATAGAAAATACTATTTTTGTTATGTGTGTGTGTGTGTGTATTTTGTAGGTGATAAGTGAGCATGAAGAAGCGCGCTTATATAGAGTTTATTAAGCGCCGGAGATAACGGCCGTCAAGGGTTTGTTTAACGGCCGGCAAACGTTAACTTTTTTTAATTAATTAAATTAATCAAATGTCGAGCAATTAGTTATCACCATTTTTTCCTAGTTTCTTATCGTGTCTTTTTTCTACGTAAGATTTGGTATTGATTTTTGTGGTAATAAAAACTATATTAAATTATTTAATGTGGAATATAAATTATTTAATTTGAAAAATATTGCAGTTGGTTTTGATTAATAAGTGATTCGGGCTGTCCATGTATGGGTCACACCAACAGTGTCGTGTTGTAGCCATTGACGAATACCCTCCGGTGGAGCATCGAACGACCGGTACTCCAAAGGGCCTTTCGTTGCGAAGGAAGCCAAAAAATCGGCCGCATAATTCTTTTTTCTTTGAACAATATTAAACATGTCAAATAATTGTGAAAAATAAAAATAAAAATTAAAAGACGCGTGAGAAAAAAAACAAAACTTGGTCAATTTGAAAGTCTCGTTGGCGTGTTTATAATTATAATCGTGATTGATGCCTATTTAATTAATCCCTAATTATGAGATTTCCAATTTAAATATTCGAATGAGTAATAAAATAAATAATAATCGTGAATGGTGAATAGTGTTGAAACTAATGAATTTTTGTAGGGCAAATAATCAATCCGCAAACTAACATGAATTTCAAATCATGGACTTTGAAATTGAAAGAGCTAAAGATTCATTTATATAAGTGTTTGCCTTTTTAAAAAAAATAAAAATAAAATAAAATGTTAGAATATCACTTGTGAGTTGTCCACATCGTTCATACATAGAAAATAGACTCACCTTACAAGTCTAATGAGTTACTCCTCCTTCCACCAATTGGTTTTGGGATGGAACCTCATTTGGGCTTCATATGGGTTTTTTCCGCTTTGGTGCGCTTCATGTTAGTGGGCCCGCACCCGTTTTTCCCCCAGTTTCTTACATGGTATCAGAGCCGGTTCTATTGGGACCGTGCGATAACGTACCCGTTTATGGGAGTCTGCTTCCTCACGTACCCGTTTATGGGAGTCTACTTCTAGTAGGCTTGGGGCATTCAGTTGGGCTTGGGCTTCTCGCATCCGTTTATGGGAGTCTGCTTCCCCACGTACCCGTTTATGAGAGTCTACTTGGTGCACCCAATTGGGCTTGGGCTTCCGAAGGACTCACAAGTGAGGGGGCGTGTTAGAATATCACTTGTGAGTTGTCCCACATCGTTCATACATGGAAAATAGACCCACCTTACAAGTTTAATGGGCTACTCCTCCTTCCACCAATTGGTTTTGGGATGGAACCTCATTTGGGCTTCATATGGGTTTTCCCGCTTTGGTGCGCTTCATGTTAGTGGGCCCGCACCCGTTTTTCCCCCAATTTCTTACATGGTATCAGAGCCGGTTCTATTGGGACCGTGCGATAACGTACCCGTTTATGGGAGTCTGCTTCCTCACGTACCTGTTTATGGGAGTCTACTTCTAGTAGGCTTGGGGCACCCAGTTGGGCTTGGGCTTCTCGCATCCGTTTATGGGAGTCTGCTTCCCCACGTACCCGTTTATGAGAGTCTACTTGGGGCACCCAATTGGGCTTGAGTTTTCGAAGGACTCACAAGTGAGGGGGCGTGTTAGAATATCACTTGTGAGTTGTCCCACATCGTTCATACATGGAAAATAGACCCACCTTACAAGTCTAATAGACTACTCCTCCTTCCACCAATTGGTTTTGGGGTGGAACCTCATTTAGGCTTCTTATGGGTTTTTTCCGCTTTTATGCGCTTCATGTTAGTGGGCCCGCAATTTTTCCCCCAGTTTCTTACATAAAAATCACTTAAACCGGTCAAACCACTCACACTAAGATGAAAAATATAATTAGCTCAAATATAATATTTTAAAACATATTATTATTATTATTATTATTATTATTATTATTATTATTATTATTATTATTATTATTATTATTATTATTATTATTATTATTATTATTATTATTATTATTTATGAGAGAAGTGAAAACAGGTAACTTGACATTCTTTTTGTATGAGTTTCATTAAAAAGACGAGAACGAGCTTTGCATTTGATTCTATATTTTCTACACCACGTATGTTAATTATTAAACCTGTACTAAAATTTAAAAATAGTAAAAAAATGATTATTTTAAAATCTTAAACAGTTTTTAAAAAATTATATCACTATTTTTATTTAATTAATTTTTATTTAATATGAATGTCAAATTGAATATCGTAAAAATTGACTAATAATCCCCCTTCCCCCTATATATTAATACAGAACGCGCTGAGCCTACGTGGCTACTTCTGGTGTTTCGGAATCCTATATGACAAAATTACCTGCTTTGTTATTAGGTTTGGGTAAATTTTAATTTAATTCCAAACCAAAAATAATTAGGTTCGAATTACCATAAATATGTTTATTATTTATGGTCATGTTACATGTATTAATTGTATTTTAATATCATTCCTTATTATAATTATTGAATTGTATATATATTTTAAAAGTTAATAACTTTTGTATTTTTTATCAGTTTTACATATGTAATATATCAAATTAATCTTCTTTTGATGAGCTTCGATTTAACATCCATATTGTATGTATAAAAAAAATTTATATTTATTTTTATAACAATAATAAAATTATTTTTAATATTAATTAGAAAAATAAATTATTTATCAACTAATATATTTATATTTCAAATAGTTATATGATATAAGTTATAACAACTAATATAATATAACACATTTAAGTTATAAGTAACACATATCATTCTAAAATATATAGTAATATATTTTTTTTTTTTTTGTAAAAAAGTAAACTAAATTTAATATAGTTTTCTCATTAATTTTAAAATTTAAGAAAAAAAATTTAACAAGCACCCGTGTGATACACGGGTGTTGTACTAGTTAGTATGGATGTCAAATTTCCTCATTTTCTTTTCCTCTATATATCGCGTTTGTGTGTGACCGCGCGTCGCAACGCGGCAAAATTAAAATTTATATTTTCCTCGACTAACCTCTACTAACTAGTAGTAGTGGCGAGCAAGGGTCGAACCCACAGGGAGTGTGAATCAAATTGTGAATTTTCTCGTATTAATTGAATTTATAAAAGCGTAAATGGGG